TTTCTGTGGTTTGAACTCCACCACAAAGCTCTGTGATGTACATTTAGGCAAAAGGAGTCGAAAACCAAAAACTTATCTTCGAAAGTCCGAAGGTTATTTTCTTTCCAGAGTCAAAAGAAGAGCCCAAGTTGCACAACTTCCAAGAGCTAGATTCTGTAAATGTAGTATGATATGAGATTTACAGAATTTAGCTCTTTGGAGAGAGCAAACAACAGTGTGGGGGAGGGTAAGGTAAGTTAAATTATGAGGAAAGAAGAAAGTACCTAGCTCTTTGTATCCAGTCCAGTCACTTTTCTCCCACCACTGCCAATGAGATCAATAAATCCATTAAATGCAGTCACCTGGGATGATACTTCATGGAGTTATAAAAACAATGTCACGGTGGCAGCAGGATAACAACATTTTACGATGCTTCTTTTTTAGCATGATTTCCGCATTACATAAATTTCATTGAGAAGTTAACCAGTAGCCATTAACCAGAAAATGGAAGAATTTGTCCAACTGGTTCAGTTGCAATTGTTATTTATATAAAAATAAAAATCCAAGTGTAGACTTATCTGTACTTAAAATAAACATATAATTAAGAATATCTAAAAAGTTATACTCATGGCCAATGTCCGAGTTAAGTTGATCCAGAGTCATCTCATAGTTGGTCACCAGATTTTTCTTTAGTGGGAAAACTACATCTCTATGAGAAATAGTGTAAAATCAATAAGAACTAAGAAGGATACAGCAAAAAAAAAAAAAATCCTGAACTCAATTAGAATAGTGGAGATAAGAATTAGGACAGACATGCATGTCCCAAAATGAAAATCCAATTCAAATATATCAGACCGGAAACAACTATTCCAGTTAGAATAGGAACTCTAACTTGCTTCACAAACATATTTGCACAGGGATGACAATCATGAGTTTCTTTTGCCATGTAATTGGCCAAGGCTACAACCACAAATCGTCACATAGTTTTCCTAGTAAGAGAGTTAATTTACAGATTGCTTAAGTTTTCTTCACTTTGTACCAATACCAAAGTCAATTACACGCAAATATACTAAATTAATACCGTTTCTTTCCATTCTGAGTATCCATCAGGCGATTGACCACCCATTCTAGTCCATCTACATCTGTACCCATTATCACCGAGGTCCTCCCCACTTTCCCGATACCAAGTACTGCCATCTTCATTCGTGCCCGACTCGCTAACATTTTCATTTAACAAGTTGATCCCCCAGTCCTTCTCATTTGCAATACCAGTGTCTACAGTGGAGCCAGATACATTTATCAGTTGTGACTAATACTCGGTACAGACAAAGCTCATTAATCAAACACAAGCAAAACCAGAAGTTCATGCTAGGCTGCACAAATATAATATTAGACCAGCTGAACTAGCTAATAATTCCTAAAACGCAATTTAGATCACCTCTTTTTGGCGGAGTATCACGTGATTGTGGACCAGAGCCCCTCGGGGTGCAGCGAGGATAGAATTTTTCTGGTTTTGAAATGAACCGAGATCTGCAGAAACAAGAAGGTCAAGCAATACACTAAGAGGATATAAATTCCAAAGCCATACGTGACATGCGTAAATATTGATCATTAAGTTTAAACTATTATCGCCGTCTTCCCCCAATTCACAGAACTCAAAAAATACAGCGTGAGCGTCATTAATCTTTATGCCTAGCTAGAACAAGTGAGAAACGAAGGAACAACCATTCCCTTCCAGTGAAAGGGTTGTAATTTTGAACTATTAGATGAACTGTCCCAACCAGATTAATCCCATTGCATCCCACAAAAACGGGTAGAAAGTAACAATCAATTACATCGAACTCAACACAAAGTAGTAGTTTCCAGTACAGAACTTGAACTTACTGAGGGGAAGCGAAGGACATTGCGGGCGTGGCTTGGATACGGACACTGCGAGGTGCTTTTTTGGGATCGAAGCGCCAGTCCTCTTTCTTCTCCACGCTCTTTCCAGACCCAGTAGTTCTCCGTATCGGAACCATAGAATCTGAACAGCAGCAACTAATAGATGTAAACCCAACTCCATTAATCTCGAACAGAACCCTCCTCCTCCTCCTCCTCCTCCTCCTCAGCTCCGGCGGGCCATGCCCATGGCTGGGCAAACGAAAAGACTCGAGCCGCCTGTCGATATCGAAGTGGGTCGAAAATCCTCTGCAACACGCGGCCATTGGTTCACAAAACTTCCATGGGAAAGCAGCAGGAGATGAAGGCGAAATGTGGGTGGATTGGCCTCGGAAGGAGCTAGAAAGTGAGAGCAGTCGCCAAATCTGAATTTGGAGGGGGAGTGAAGTTCATGGAGGAAATGGGAATGGGAAGAAATGGGGGAAACGGAGGGTGAAGTTCAAAACGAGAGAGAAATTTGGAGGAATTTGTTATGGAGAAGCATTTGAAAATTGAAAAATTGAAAAAATTGAAAAAATTGAAAAAATTGAAAAATTGAGAGAGATTGGAGGATGGCGGAGTTATGAGATCGGTGGTGGCTCAGCGGAAATTCGGAGATTTATTCATACACGTGAGCAGGGGGATGGGTCCCACACGTGGGGATTTGTATCCTGAATTTCCCAGTGGGTATTCCACGTGGCACAAACTCAGCCGTCACTTCTCTTCCTGCAAAATAAGTAAATTTTAAATAATTGCTTTCAGATAGGTAATCATTATTTGCACAATATGGTACTTAGTTAAGTTTATTTTATGCGCCCGCAAGCACCAATTGACATATATTTTTAGGAGCAGTGAGTTCGATCTCGACGTACAAATCGTGAGTTCGACTTCCTATCTCTACATATTGTATTAAAAAATTTATTTTTTTAATCTAAAAAAAGTTTATAGGGATAATATTGTACTTTTGAGTTGAATTCAATTTTTTATGTTTAAATATTATTGTTGTTCAATATGATCTCTATTTATAAAATTTTAACGCTTGGTATACAATGAAAATCCTTTTGTACAAATATATGGCTACGTCCTAAAAATGTAGTGTGGGAAGTGTTATGCTAAAATTATGAAAATAAAAATAAAAATGAATGACCAAAATAGATGTTTTGAAACTATATTGAAACTACAGGTACTAAAATGAACAAAAATTGAAAATACAAGTACCAAAATGAATGAAGTCAAAGTACATAGACCAAAATAGTATTTAAACGATTTTTTGATGCATTTATAACTTTATTAATTTTACCCAATTTAAATGGAAGTCCAGACTCTAATTAATGATAGAAGTTAATACCTCGATCATTATATAGTTTTTTTAGGAAGAGAAGTGAAAGCCGGGGAATAAGGTACTTAAAAATATGATAAATCAAAATTTATCCCAACTTTTTTAAGATTCAGAGAAATTGAAAAAAAATATATATATCTCCTGAAGTCGTCTAATTTATCTTCTAATGTGAACTCAACAAATATCATTTAGTGTAATTCTATTATTAGTTAATTTTAATATTCATCACTAGAAAAAAAAATATATCAATCTAAGCATGACTAACAAGACATTTATATCATTGCATTTGGTTGAAATTCAAAAATAGGAGATAGAAAAATTTTTAAAAAAATGAAAATTTTTAATCCGAATAAGATCTGACCACAAGCAACAAGCACCCTTTTTTTCAAGGATAAAAAGAACAAAAAAAATAAAATAAATTGAAATTGTGTGTTTCTTTCAATTGACAACAAATGGAGCACCGACAAGAATGTAGCGTGGACTTCCATAATTCTTTTGTGTTTCAAATTTGACTAATTTTTTTTTTCTTTTTACAATTTTACGTTTTAAACTAAATTTAAAGTTTACTCTTGTTGTCATTAGTGATAAAAATGGGATGTATCAAGTTATTTCTAGAAACACTTGAGAATAAATTATAGAAATTTGTCCATTGAATGAGGGAGACGGAAGGCTTTCAACCAATTCTAAGGGTTCGCACCAGGCCAACTATTAATGATATTTGTTGTGGTCAAAATCATAATCAATACGTGTACGCACCAAGTCAACTCAGTTCGAAGTCCTCAAAAGATGGAAAACAGATCCTTCATACTCGCCGACCTCAGGGTCGACCACCTGGGTCTAATAGCCGTAACCGTCTGTCAGAACGGTTCCAACAGCTTTGTCTCCCCGCCTACTTATAAAAGGAACACTCCACCCCATTGATTAGATACGCAATTTCCTTCGAGAACGACCTACTACAGCTCAAGCTCACTCTAACTTGGATGTTAGAGTGTTTGTTCCTTGTACAGGTTTTACTTGAGATCGCACCTCAACAGCTCATTTCGGTTAGCACGTGACCTCGACGAAAAAATAGCACCTGACATTGTTGAAACACTCCAAGAATAAAGTATAGAAATTCGCTTTAATCATAAGTGTTTTTTTTTTTTTGATCTAAAAGTAGTAGTTCAATTGTGATCCACCAACCATGTGTGATGTGTGATGATATTTAATTTTTTTTAGTTGCAGCATGGTCATTGTGAATTGTTGATTTTTTCTTCTTTTTAATATTGTATATTTTAATAATATTTTAAAAAAAATAAATTGAAAACTACTATGTTCTTACATTTATTTTCTAAAAATAAAATCAATACACTGAATTCTTCCTTCTCTACTTTTTGGCACCAATTTGTTTCCTTCTTGTCATGGATATTAGATACTGCAATTAATTCCATTTAATTTAGCCTTATAAATATAGGACATTTTTATAATTTATATATATTTTTTTACTTCTATGTCTTGGAAAACCATGTTTTTTATTAATTGTTTTTTGTTTTTAATCTAAATTTAAAAAAAATAAAAATTTTGCCTAAATTTGAATACTAAAACTGTAAATTTTAAAAACTTATTTTCATTTTTAAAATTTAACTAAGACTTAGAATATATTAGAAAGTAAAAAATTAAAAAGGGAAAATATAAGTTTTCAAAAACTTAATTCTTTGACAAAAATTAAAAAAACAAAATCGATATCAAATCAGGATTAATTATCCAAATTTGGTATTCAAAAATAAAAGTTTATCTAAATTTGAAAAACTAACCTACCACAGCCCTTGCAATATATCAGGTTATTTATTTATTGCTATAATAGAGAGGAGAGCATTATTAATTGTCTTTTTAGTACATTATTAATATATTATTGTTTATTCACAACTCTTTTTTTTTTAGAAAATATTCAATAGTATAATAATTTAGAAAGGAGAGATTCAACTTCCTACCTATAAAAAATAATTTAGCTTAACCACTGAACTATGTGTTCATAAATATTAATTGATTACTGCTGAACATTACCATTTAACTATTAATTAATTAACAGGAATCCATTATTTTATAATATTAATTTCAATCACTACCTCCCATTAATATTAGTTTTTTTTTACAATTTATATTTTGATGATTTCTGTATATTCTAGGTTTTTTTCAAGTACAACATCAACCTCATAATTGGAGGTAATAAATGCCAATTACGACTGAGTTAGACTCGTTTTGATCGGTATATTCTAATTTATTAATCACAGGATTAATATAAATTCAAATTAATTGCTAACAATCCATTGGAGCTAGTTTATTACTAATATAACAAAAGAAGGACTATTTTACTCTTGTTTTTGGAGAAATGGATTTTGGGTTTAGTTTTCATTTGGTCTCTAGGTTTTTAAAATATTACAGTTTTATACTTGATTTTTTAGTCTAATTTTCAATCCGTGGGATGGAGATTCAAACTTATGACCTTTTAGTTGGGATATATATCTTAACTATTTACGTTCAGATTAACCTTTAGTCCAAGGTTTTATAAAGTCATACTTTTACCTTAATTTTAACTAAGACTTACTTCTGGTCCCTGACATAACAAAATCATTAGTAACCTAACAGAACTATGATGCTGACGGACCAATTTAATATTAATTTGTATTGTTCAAACCTTACCGGCTAAAAATACTTAATTTTATTGTATTTTATATTTGATGTGGTAGAAAAAATAATAAATAAATCTCTCCCTCCACCTCCTCTCTCTGGAAAATCTCTAGTCCTACTCTAGTAGTTCTATTAATTTTATGTCATGTGTAATCTTATTTTAAAAATAAAATAAGGTGAACCCCAAATGATTTTAAAATGAAAAGAAGTCCACGTAGGATTCATTTGTAGATTTTTCCACCCTCACCACCGACCAATGTTCGTCGACTGCCTCCCACCTCTTCCTAGCGCTAAAGAAGCATAGAGTCATTTTCGATTGCTCTTTCCAATGGTTGTTGATTGTTTTCCTTACTCCTCCAGAATTAGAGTTCTTCAATTTAGTTTGTTTGTTTCCTTACCGATCATTTCATTATGTGTGAGAATTTAAGCCTGCAGTTCACCATAAAGGCTTCAAGAATGGAAAAGCTAACCAAAAAACTATTCTATAATCGACTCTTATTGTCGAATCGAAGGGACTTGGCTTGTACCCGACTCTTTCATGTTAACAATTTGTGAGGTCCCATCGGACCACTTTTGTTGAGAAGAAAGAGTGGTGGTGTCCGGTAGGAGAAGAGGGAAGATGGGGGCAAGGTGAGGATGGTAAGGTAGAAAAGAGAGAATGAGGTGGCAAAGAGAGATTTTTTTATTGCTTTTTCTACGTCATCACAACAAATATTCTTTACCACATAAGCATATAAATAATATAAATTAATATTAAATGGATCCGTTAGCATCTTAGTAAGCATTATATTAAGATTATCAAAAGTTGCTTTAAATCAAGGACCAAAAGTGAGCATTAGTGAAAAATCAAGAGTAAAAATTTTGAAACCTAAGAACTAAATTCAAAACCTAAGGATATAACATCTTGAAACCTGAGAATCAGAAAAATAAACGTAAAAAAAAATACATATATTTTTAGGACTATTTACTATTCATTAATATTTTAATATCAATTTTAATTATTTAAATATAGTAATACAAAATATTACCATTTGAAAAAGAAAAAAAGAAAAAAGATAAAGAGAGAGTAGCTACATTATTTTAGTTCTTCACACTTAATTAAAGTTGATTATTCCCAACAAGATTTATAAAACAAACACAAATCTGCTATTAATTCTCATTTAAAACAATTTCGAAAGGCCCACAAGTTCAATTAAAATAATACCCTTCATTAAGAGACTATTGTTTTTTAAAATGACGACTTTTTTTTTTTTTTTTAAAGAAGAAGAACGTGTTAATAATAATAATAATAATATTATTATTATCTTATGCTTGGGTGGTGTTGTAATCCAGAGAAGAGCCAAACCGACGCATCAAAATGACTTTTTGATGACAGCAAAATCTCAGGATTTTCTTCGCTGGCGATGACGTGGCAAATGGCTACATATTGGAAAAAAAGAAAAAAAATAGGGTTCATAAGTGGATGGGAATGGGATCCTTGTTGGAAAGCAAAAGCTCCCAACTTCCCCAAATTTCCTCAAATCTTATCCACCCGGTCCCCTTTCCCTGCTTTCCACATGGTTTGACCACGTGTCATTACCTCAAGCGTGGGTGACATGGCAAGATTCTGATTGATAAAGGCACCTCATTGTTTGTGGATAAAATGGAAAATCACATCCCACGTGGCAAAAAGGACACGTGGTTGGCAAAAGCGCCACATTTTCAATTCAACACCATAGAACAAGAGCAAAAACTTGGTCATCTGCTACTGAACGAGGAAGCCAGAGGTTTCACCGGCCTGTCCTGTCATAGGCCTTATTCTCCAACTCACCCCAGTATACTTGGATAACTATGAACACTCCAATCATATTCAGCCACGTCGAAATCATGAACAGTCACAAGTAAGAGGCAGTAATCATAAGAGAAATCATGCCATGTTTTTTTGTACTAAATTCATTAATTTGACAGAAATTGGCAATGCAACAGACATACTACTAATTTTTGTTGGAGGTGGTTCTTCCCACAGAACAAAGGCATCCAAAGCAAGAGGAAAGCAAAATAGGATGGCAAAATCTTATAATATTATTTCCTTTTCTGGTGGAAAGTATATAAGCTGTGAGTACTACTAATTGAGTAAGTTCAACACAACAGAACAACAAATGGTAGAAGATAGGAGTTACTTGTTTCCAACAGCCATGCCATCTTCTACACTAAAATTACTCACTAGTGTATAACTCCGTTACTGGATAAGTGTCCTCGCTCGTCCGACAACCTAACATCGTAAGGACGAGAATGAAGTTGTTTGAAACTAAATTCAGTAACATCATGAATTACTCTTGCTAAAGGATAGAAACAAACTCTGAAGGGAGAGTTGTCACAAGTCCAGTTGCTTGCAGTCAATACCAGGAAAGAAAACAAAAAAAAAAATGAACTCCCTCATCTCGAGAGAAAAGGCTTCACTGATTCTACAACCACCTGTTTCACAAGAAAAGAAATTGAACTATGTCATCGTGTAAAACTGTAAAATGGGGGTTGATTTACATACGGATGATTGGGCATAAATCTATATTTATACTATATTAAAAAGGTAGGAGGTAGGAAAAACATTTTTGGACACTTTTACCCTTTACTAAATTTACAAATTTACAAATTATGCCATTAATATATTATTACAAATATTAAATTAATTATTAATTATTAATTATTAATTATTAATTATCAATACTATGCATGAAATATAAAAGGTTAGAATGGAAAAAGTTTTCCAACAACATAAAATTAATTTTTTCTTTAATTAAAATTCATACTAGAATTTCAAGAATTTTAGAATTTGAAAAGCTTTTGTAAAGTTTTATCCTCTACTACTATAAAAATAGGTTTTCTTCTATATGTTTTTCACGAGTTTCAATACTTTTTTATTCTTAGTTCCTTGAGACATCTCTCAAAAATGATTCAATCTTGAAAACATCTCGAGATATTTGTRACATATTCATCAAGTTGCAAGAGAGGCATATGTTGAATCTACATATCTCGAATACTAGGTTTGTAACATTACCATTCCACAATTTTACAAAGTTGAATAATAGTATCTGTCAAACAATCTTCAAGAATGAGCATATTTACTCTAAAAGATGAGTGTATAGTAAGTACTTGGATTTTTTTTGTTACTATTGTTATTTTTCTAATTAGTGTGTTTTTTATTTGAAATGTTTCTTTTTTTAGCAATTTTATTTAGTTTAGGATTTGGACTTTTTTTTTGTTACTAATGTTAATGTTTTTTATTGTTTAGTGTATTTTTTTTATTTGGAATGTTTTTTTAGCAATTTTATTTAGAATATTTGTTTAAAATATAGATAATTACAAGCTCATGTTCTTATTGTTGAAAAAAAACAATCATAGAAGCCAGTATATAAAAAAATGTTTAATTAATAAATTAATTATAAACAATAATTTGTATAGAATCGTAAAAGGTGGAATATAAAACTTTTGGTCATTTTATTTTCTAATAATATAATTTGAAGAATTTTTCTTTAATAATTTTAATTATAATATAAAATTAAATCAATAAAATAATTTAGTTTTAGTTTTAGTTAAAAAATTCAACAGCCCTAAACAAATATTTAACAAACAAACAAAATATTAAAAAAATAAAATAAAGGACCCATATTAGGTTGAAATAATTTAAAAATAAAAATATTAAAATACCTATTTACTTTTTTATTAATATATAATTTTTTCCTTTACTTTTAATTTATTTATTTACAAAATATATCATTAACAATTAATTATAAATAGTATATTTTAAAAATAATTATAAATAGTACATTGTATTATTAGTAATTAGCTGTCAATAATAATAAATATATATAAAAATTAATCTTAATTATTTTTTAAAATAATTATACTTAAAATATTTTACGTGAAATTATATAAAATTTAAGTTACCTTATAATAAAAAAAATTTATACGTGCATTGCACGTGGTAATACACTAGTGTCCCAAAAAGTTTGAATAAGTATAACGAGCTTCTGTAAACGGTAAAAACTGACTTCGCATAACTACCTAACCTAGATACCTAATAAAAATATAAAATCTCAATTAATGCAAAAGCAGCAAAGCTGCAAAAAGTAGGTGACATGATACTCCATGAAGCATATCTCCATCATGTATTAACACTAGAAAGAAAGGGAAACCGCAACATGAACCAGTCGTTGAAAAAGGAAGAAAAGATAAATAAAATTCCTGTAGACATAGTTGATGCTACTTACCCTCCCATCATAGGACAATGATGCAAAGATCCAAGGCTCGCGAAAGCTCCAAGCAAGGCCTTTAGTTAGAATTTAAAACCACCAAATCAGTTTGATCCACTGGGTAATACATATATTAAAATAACAAGGTTATAGCTGTTACCATAAACGCTGTCTTCATAGTCACTGTAAGAATGCAATAATGGATCACCTCGCGGTGGTGTTGAATCAACCGTCCTGCTCATAAATTCATAATCAAGAAGTGTCATCATAAGTTTTAAAGAGAAACAGAAAAAGAAACATCCCAAACAAGAAGATGACCTTTCAGATTTCAGTTCACCATCAGACACAGGTGCCAACCATAAGTTGACGGCTGAATCAGTACCAGCACTCTGCAATCACATACATTGTGTCATTGACTCGAAAGATACATTGAAAAATTGGACGATCTTGTACTAGAGAATGATTTCACCAGTCATACAATTAGTCTATAACTTATAAGAATTGAAATTTAAAATAAAACAATCGGCCCCAGACTTCACAAAGGAAACTGACACAGTGACACAATTAAATTGGAAACAAGTGTGAAAGAGTTGCTATTAAATGCAATCTAACAAACATGAGCCGAACAGTAAAATGAGTCGGGAAAAATAACTCTATCTAGAAATGGAGAGGAGAGAAGGAGAGCGAACCAAGATTAGTCCATCATATTGAGGATTACAATGAACAGCGCATGTCCTGCAGAAGTATTAGGATCACAGTTAAAATATTTAACTTGAGCACAGAACAGATTTTACATTCCTTAACATTCTAGAGAAACATGATCTCATTAAAAAGATACCAGTGGGTATGCCCAGGAAGTTGTTGGATTGGAACCTTTGGCTTTCTAAGATCCCATATAGATATTCCAGTTTCATCCTCAGCAGTTACCTGAAACAGGGGACATTTTATTAATGCCAAGATGGGAAAAAAAAAAAACAATAAATATTGCACGAAAACCAGACTGGGAGATGAAATACTTTTTTAGGAACAAAAGAGGCTGTGATTATTATGAGCCTGTATAAGGACTCCTGCTTTTCACATTTCATTCATTGCCATGGTGAAATTTGTTTTTTTTTTCCTCCCATCTCTTACGTTGGACTAGCGTTCACTAGTCAAAGTAAGCCCAAATAGTCTATTGTAAAGGTCAAGACAAGTGATGCGTAATGACTCAGTTCATTGAATACAAGTTAAACATCAGAGGTAATAAATTAAAAAGGTTAAGACAAGCAGAGGGAGGATGCTTGGGAAGGAAGCAAATGTTAGAAAACATCCAGATAGGTGTAATCATAAACCACCAAAATGACAGGCATCCAGCTGTCGACAGGATAAGAAAATGTTTTGTTCATAGAAATTGTTACAACTTACAACTTACTAACTATTCAAGAGATCTGTACTCTGTTTACCAAAAAAAAAAAAAAAAAGTCCCTACTTCTCTCTCGACACATTTTTTGTCATCCTTCTGGCTCGCACAAATGTCAAATGATGCCTTTTAAACAAGCTAATTAACATTGGTAGCTCTAACCGACTAAATTGCCCCAAAACCAGTTAGTCACCACCCCAAAGTTGTCTTCCTCCCCTTCCTAGCAAAAGAAAACACACCTTAGGCCTAGTAAATCGAAGGCAATACATGACACCAGCATTCTAATCATGGCTCTGTTTGTCTAGTGACACGAGATTTGTGAGTCTATATAATTATTAACTTTTTTTTTATAATTGGGAGTTGGAGTTTTGTTCCCTATATCTAAAGGCATTCGCGCTCACCCTAAAGCCTGGACCCAAGAGATATCAAGGGTTTTTTGTATTAAGGTCACCAAAAGGTTCGAACTTGAGATCTCTAAACCAGCATGACCAAAGGACTCCAAACCCTTGCCAACCAGGCTGGTCTTGGGGCGATTCTAGTATAATTATTTGACAAAAGCCTTTTCAATATGCATTCACAGGTACGTAAAAGATATTTCAAATTTGATGCCCATGAAAAAGGGGGGGGGAAAAGAAAAGATTCCTTACAAGTAAATGTTTCTTCTTCGGGTTGTAATCCACATTGCGAACATATGCAGAGCATGCAATCGAATCTGTCTTCCTGCAATTAACTTCTCATAAGCCAATTGCAGAATTATCAATGAATTGAACTTATGACTTTATAAAATTCAAAAAAAGAAAAGTTTCAAAATTTTAAATTTAAAGAAACAAATAAAACATCCCTGTATATTCTCCATAAAAAAGTATATAAGTTGATGTGAGTATACACAAAAAGCACATTTACCAAGATGAGCTAAAATAGATGGAAAACCAATACATAATATATGTATCATCTGTCAAAAACATAAAGTATAAGTGATAACATACTTCATTGTCCTCAAATCCCAAAATTGAACGGATGATTCACTAGTTGCAGCAATAGCATTCGAATCATGTGGATCCCACGTCCCTCCAGACAAATAATGAAGCATCCCCGTTGACTCCTTCGATTGTACCTAATTGTAGCAAGCCCCAAATAAGATCATCACAGAGACATGATAAGAAATGTTATTTCGTAGCAACTAGCTTGTTGATATGACAGTACACATTATTACACCTTTTTTTAATTGACAAACATATTACCATAAAGAATTGCACAAGAACGAATGGTCCCAATATTTCATAAACATTTGAACAACTCAACTTAACGTAAATGGTAATTGAATCACAAACTTTTTACATATTTTTTTCTATAATTAAAAAGCAACATGACATGCATATTAGATATATCACTCATACAAGTTGATTGACTCTAAACTGCCAATATGGCCAGTTCTCCTATGAAACGGAATCCCCCACCACCACCTAAAAAAATATAAAAGCTTACAAGTAAAACCTGCAAAAATGAATTGCATTAGCTTATGCGCATCTTTTTTCAAAGGGTTAAGATTGAAAGATAGTAATTCCAAAATCCTATTGACTGCTCAGACTGATTCAATTGTAACTCCGTGCTGGCTTGGGCAATTAAGGAGAGAGCTTCTAAAGAAGTGAGTTTTTTCTACTGACTGTTGACCCAGGAAGATTGTTGGATTTGTAAGGTGATTGCAAACAAAATCCCACATTGGCTAGGGAAGGGAATGATCATAGGTATATAAGAGAGGACAATTATCTCCATTGGTTTGAGGCCTTTTGGGTGAAACCAAAAGCAAAGCTGTGAGGGTTATGCCTATAACAAGTGGTATTAGAGTCATGGTCTAAACCTAGCTGTGTCGGTGAATCCTCGAGTGCCGAACAAAGAAGTGGTGAGTCTCGGAAGATGTGGTCATGGTGTAATTTGTGGGTGTGCTCTATCAAGGTGTGCCTGGAGCTTTGGATAAGAGCAAGCTCTCGTTCAGGTTCCGAGAGTAGACGGATGAGTGACTACTTGAGGGAGGCTCGGTGGTACTTTGTTCGAGGGGAGGATTGTTGGGTTTGTAAGGTGATTGCAAACAAAGTCCTACATTGGCTTGGGTGAAACCAAAAGCAAAGCCGTGAGGGTTATGCCCAAAGTAGACAATATCATACCATTGTGGACATACTCGGGGTACGAGGGGTACCGTTGTCCTTAACAAGTGGTATCAGAGCCATGGTCTAAACCTAGTTGTGTCGATGAATCCTCGAATGTCGAACAAAGAAGTGGTGAGTCTCGGAAGGTGTGGTCATGGTATAATCTGTAGGTGTGCTCTGTCAAGGTGTGCTTGGAGATTTGGATAAGAGCAAGCTCTCGTTCAGGTTCCGAGAGTAGACGGATGAGTGACTACTTGAGGGAATGCTCAGTGGTACTTTGTTCGAGGGGAGGATTGTTGGGTTTGTAAGGTGATTGCAAACAAAGTCTCACATTGGCTAGGGAAGGGAATGATCATGAATATAAGAGAGGACAATTATCTCCATTGGTTTGAGGCTTTTTGGGTGAAACCAAAAGCAAAGCCGTGAAGGTTATGCCTAAAGCGAACAATATCGTACCATTGTGGAGATACTCGGGGTACGAGGGGTACCATTGTCCTTAACAGAAGATAATAGATGACTTTGTTCAAAAATACATCTGGGCAAATTTATCCCTCCCCAATGGTGTGTGATGTGTAAAAAGGAACAGGAAACCCAGAATTACCTTTTTGTGAATTGTCGTTTGTGACAAGACATTGGCAGGGCTTCTAAAAGAATTTTGGTCTGGCAGGCTACTAGCCTACTTTCCAGAGGATATTCTGAAATATCCAGATCAGTTGCTGTGGATCACACTTACAGGCTAAACCTGAAAACCTTTGAGAAAATGCATTTCCAGCGGTTTTTTCAGAGATTTGATTTGGAATAAATCCAACTCATTGATGTTTCCTGAGAGGAAGAAGAGTGTTCCGACATTTGGCTCTCCATGGAATTCTTAATCCAGTCTTCCTAACGATTATGATTCCTTTATGATATATAGCAATTGCAAAAAAATTTGCAAATTTTTAGTGTCTTGAGGTTGATGCCTTGACTCCTATAGTTTTTCTTGATTAATGAATTCTGTCTTATATAAAAAAGTACAATTCTGAACCTTAGCCTACCCAATGCATATACTACAATGTGGTGCTAAAATGAAAGTTGCTTGATATAGGATCCAATTACCACACCACAGAATTTCTGTTTGAGTCTACCTGAGCAACTTTTCTTGAACAATCCAAGCTCCATAGTAAAATATTTTCCTCATCAATGCTAATCAGCTTATCATGTCTTCCAGATGGCCACCAAAGAACACTGTCCAGCCATTTTTGTTAGGAATGAAAACCCAAATAATGGAATGCATTAATTGAATGTCAATTGGGAACAAGCTCATATGGATCAACAAAAGCAAACAGGTGAAAAAAACATTAAAATTCAGAGAAAACTTGGAAAGCTAAAAGTATCAAAGAGAAATACATTCCCATGAGGATACATTTTACTTCAATTAATTATTAGAACAAAACATGATCTCATATATATTCTGCATTCGAAAAAATGTGGAATTCAAATATGTTAAATGCAGTTGGACTTGATTGTAACCAGGAAAAAGAATAGCTTCCGACTTACTTACCAATTGATCTTACTAGCATGTTCATCAAGTGATGTAACCCGTTCCAACTGTGGAGAATTCAATTCACCATATAACTCAGGGATTTGCCATATTGCTGCCTCAAAGTTTTCACCTAAATAATACGGAAGAGGATCAATTCAAAGAAAAGTGAAGGAAAAGAAGAATCCGTTACAACAGAATGAACCCGCACGAAACAACTGTGGTTGAGAAGCGAAGTAAAGAAAGAAGGAAAACATGTAAATAGCGGACATGCCCGTCAACCACACAAGTTCTCACGACTTCTGAGAATGAACAACAGGAATTTGGCCATATTCTGTTCGACAATTCCCACATTCACAAAAAGAGAAGCTCTACCTAATTCCATCAGTAACTTACCACTTCAATTAAAATTAGCGATTCTAAAAGAATAACAAAACCAAACCATGCAGTCAACAATATGGCAACTTGCAAAATGGCGGTAAAGAAAGCTACACATCGGGAGCAAGAACAATAGACAGTTGAGATAGAAAAAACACGGAAATCAATTCAATACCAGTGGAGAAGACGGTAGAGAAAATGCGTTGGTCGAAGGGGCAAGACGCCAGGTCCCAGATCTCATTGGGGTGAGAAAACAAGCCCTCGCATATGAGCTCGGATCCACTCGACGAAAGCCGAATCAAATGCACCTAATAGACTTCAATTGCATCAGATCTTCGTCAAAAATCAAACACTAATAATCATACCACGAAATAAATTAGAATTAAACTGAGTTTAACCTCATTTTCGTCTTTAAGGCTGAGAGTGCCGGTGATGAAGCTGGTGTGATCCGTATCTGCTTTCACATCGGCGATGCATCGAGCCTGGAGTAGAACAGAATTTGGAAAATGGGAATTAGGGTTTATGCTTGAAGGAGATCTAGAGGGGTTTCAATGGCGCAACCATGAAACAAATTTTTGATCAGAAATCGAACATTGACCTGGTATTTCAGCCCGTAGCCAATGCCTGATGATCCACCTTGCATGGCGGAAGCGACAGGCACCATAAGCAAACGCTCAACGATGATCAACGGCGAACGCAATCATGAAAATGTTGGCAGGAATTGCGTTCTAATGGCGCTAAGCTGAGCAGGGCACGGCCCGTGTTTCTGAGATTTTGGGTTACATAATTTGCATTTCAAACTTGCAAGAAAAAATTCAAGAGAAAATATCGTAGTTGTCCTTTTTCCAAGATTGTTTTTTCATGGATTGCATTAGCACAATTTTAATTTTAAAATAATTTAAACTAAATATTTCATCAACAGTTCCAACCGTTAATTAAGTTAGAAATGTCTTACATTAATTTTTTTTGGTCGGAATATATATTTCATATCATTAATATATTGATGAAGCATGTAAATATTACTATAACTAAAAAATTTAGACGTCTGCGTCTTTTTTTTAAAGTAAAAAAATGTTGATTGAACAGAGTGTTGCAAACAAATGAAATACGAAGAATTTTAATTTTGACCAACTATCAATATTACCATGTATTACAAGTTATCTATGGACCGCGAGTCCTGGATCATAATTTCAAAAATCATTGCATTGGGTGATAAATAAGTTTTATAACATCAGTCGGTTTTCAAAATTTCAAATATAGCCATTTTTTTTTAAATTCTGATTTTGAATATTTGAGTATTTCCGAAATACCTTTTTTAGGTCTCGCGCGCAATTATTCATCGTTCGCATCTTTCGATTTTAGCTTCGTATTTTTCTTTTCTTCTTCTTCTGATTTTAGTTCTTCTTCTTCTTTCGATTTTTCTATTCATATTTTTTCCAGATTTTTGATGTGATGAAAGTGATATAGATGTAATAGAGGAATTGTAATATTGAATAATTGAGAGGATTTTGTTTGTTTTGAGCTTCATGAAGCTTCTTCTTCTTTGATTTTCTGCATGTCCGAAGTTCAACAAATTTTTGTTCTTATTTTTACCAAAGTTTTGATGCGATGAAATTGATAGAGATCTAATAGAGGAATTGTAATATTCAACAATAAAGAGAATTTTAGAATTGTTAGAACTGTCAGATTTTGGAATTGTAATATTCAATTTCTGTTCGAATTCACTTCTCAATTTCTATTCAATTTTACTTTTTCTACATCAGTGTATTAATTGCTGATACATTGAATGAAGTATATTAGTGAAGTATATCATACTAATATTTTAGGTATATCTATAACTGATATACTCAATATAAATACTTAATGTATGGTATATCTGCAACTGATATCCTTAATATAAGGTATATTTGTAACTGATATACTCAATATAAAGTATATCAGCTGCTTATATTAACTGATATATTTTATCACTGCTATTTATTTTATACTATTTGTTCATTGATATACTAATATCATTAATGTTTTACATTTTTGCAGTATTTGTAGCTATGAGCGAGTTTGCAATAATTGTTTTTCACAGTAGTGAATGGGATGATAGTCACTGCTACATGAATTACAAAACTATTTGTATTTTGGTTGATGAAGATATGATCTTTCACAATTTTAGGGATTTGATATTGAATGAAGTGAAGTTGGATCCATCAATATGTTTCGTCCAGTTTCCAGTTTTATTAAATTTTGGTAGTAATGGAATTCAAACTGTTGTCGAAATTAATGAAGATAAAGATGTTGCTTGGTTTTTAACTTTGGTTAAGGATGACAGCACAAGATATCTTTTAGTTGCTCATGTAATTACTATGTCTTTGGAGGAGTCTAGTGTTATTAATTCTGGAAGTGAGAATTTAGGGCTGGTTGTTGCTTCTTCTACTATAATTGAAAGAGATTTTCAAGTTTATAATGATGTTGATATTACTAGTATGTCTTATGCATTTCATCTAAAGGAGAATGATCTATTTGCAAATAAGTAAGTTTTGTCAAAAGCTTTTCACTTTATGGCTATAAAGAATAACTTTCAGTTCAAGACTTTGAGATCAAACTTCACAGTTGAGTTTGAATGTGTTCAGAATGGCTACCAATGGTATGTTAGAGCATCTCGTTATAGAGGTAGTGAACTACCGATGATTAGAAAGTTTGTTAGTGATCATAACTGTTGTATGAACATAGTTCAATCTTCTCATAGACAAGCTTCATCATCTTTTATTGGTGAAGGTATGGTTGAGAAATTTAGATTTAGTTCTTCTGACCGTTCAACTCCGAAAGATATCATTCATCACATGCGCACAAATTATGGAGTTGGTGTTAGTTATAATAAAATTTGGAGGGCAAAAACAACTGTTAATAAATTGTTGAAAGGAGATGCTGATGATTCTTATGCATTGATTCCGAAGTTTTTTGTGAAGTTGAAAGAAATGAATCCAGGTTTGTTTTCTTTAATGATATAACAATAATATATGCTTGTGATATACGTGTAATGTGTATGAGATGATCTATCTTCTTGATTTAATTATGATGTATGTGTTCTGATATGCTGTTGATATACTACTGATATATATCTGATTATACTGTTGATAATCATATCTGATTTTGATATCTTAACATGTTGCTATGATATATTACTGATATATTTGACGTGCAATGATATACTATTGACATAGTATTTATATTATTTTTGTAGGTACATACACTGCATATGAAATTGATAAGACTGGACATTTTAAGTATTGTTTCATGGCTCTGGGTGCATCTATTGAGGGTTGGGGGTACTGTAGACCTAATATATCTGTTGATGGGACATTTTTGACGAGCAAATATGGTGGTACACTATTGACTGCCTCAACGTGAGATGATAACAATCAAATTTTCCCTCTTGCCTTTAGTATAGTAGATTCAAAAAATGATGCATCATGAAGATGGTTTTTTCAAAATTTAAAGAACAGTTTTGGAGATCGACAAGAGTTGGTTATTATTTCTGATCGCCATTTAAGCATCGGAAAAACTGTTTTAAAGGTTTTTCCATATGTTCAATATTGTGTTTGTAAGCGACATCTGTTGAAGAATTTGAAGTTATCATACAAGGACTCATTGATTGATAGACTTTTTGAAAATTGTGTCAAAGCCTACACAAATAATGAATTTGAGTTAAATATGAGGTTGATGGAGTCAATATATCATACTATAAGAGAATATCTTAGTAATCTTGGATTTGAGAAATGGGCTCGTGCACACACTAAAGAAAGAAGATATCAAATGTTGACAACTAATATTTCTGAGAGCCTCAATGCAACTTTGAAAGAGTCAATAGAATTACTTGTTGCATCACTACTTGATTCAGTTAGACAATTACTTCAAATGTGGTTTTATGATAGAAATAAATCAGCATCTTCTCTGAATAGTTTTTTGCCCCTTGGAGCAATAACTAAGTTTTGCAATAGCCAACTAAGATGTATCAAGGAGAAGTAATATCAATATCAAATCAACAGCAAACTCCTTCAACCCAAAAGTTAAAGGTTTAAACATCAAAATGAACTCAAAGATATTCATATCAAAAGAACATTGCACCAAAAAAAAATTGGCATATGATTTAAAACCTTTAAGATATTGTGTTGTAATATAAACATGAAAATTATAGAGTAGATTGTCATATTCATAAACACAAAATAGACTGACAATGTCATTTTTAAAAGTCTATAATAGTAAAAGCATAAGTTCCAAAAACATAAGTTTCGAAATCTTCGTTCTCGGTGATTGTCGCGTCTTAGGAGATGATATTTTTGCAGCTTTTCGTTTTTCCATAGACAAAACCTTTGGAGTTGGTTTATGCTGTCTTTTGGGACGCACGACATCAACCTTTTCTGCAATGACTTTAAATTTCATTTTTCTTGTTTGGACCATTGTTTTCATCAGAAAAAAAATATTTGATATATTAGTAGTATATTAAAAAACATATTAAAGGTAATATGTTTAAAATAATTGGTAGATTTCATAGTTATAGCAGAAGTAAATTAGTTCTATATCATATGATATCAAACATATATCACATATATATCAGGAGTATATCTATCAATCATTAGTAAATCAATAGTATATCAGAAGTCAATCAGTTATATGTCAGATATAATAGTAGATATCATAGTTATATCAGACGTAAATCAATTATATATCATATGTATATCAAACATATATCACATATATATCAGGAGTATATCTATCAATCATTAGTATATCAGAAGTAAATCAATAGTATATCAGAAGTCAATCAATTATGTATATCAAACATATATAACATATATATCAGGAGTATATCTGTTAATCATTAGTATATCAAAAGTAAATCAATAGTATATCAGAAGTCAATCAGTTATATATCATATCTATATGAATCATATATCAGGAGTATATGTGTAAATTAGTAGTAAATTAGAAGTAAATCTGTAGTATATCAGAAGTCAATCAATTCTATATCATATGTATATTAAACATATATCAGGAGTATCTCATAAACAAATCAATATCATATCAAACGCCAATCAATTCTATAACTGTTATATATCAATTGAATAAAGTAATCAACAATATATCAGAAGTCAATAAGTTATATATCAGTAAATCTACTCTCAAATTATAATTAACAATTTTAAATTATATTTATGATAATTTTTTTAATTTCATTTACTTTTTATTAAATACAGTTGAATCCCTATTATTAAGGTGTAGGATCGAATGACAACACTAGAGGGGGTGAATAGGGTTGCTTACCACTTTTTAAAAATTAAAAATAAATTTAAGGTAATGAACAATTATGCAATCAATAAAAGAAAATTAACACGAAGAGGAAATATTGAACAAAATATTTAAATAAACCTATATGCAATCTACCAAGATTCAAAGTAGATAAATACTAAATTTAAAAGAGAGAAGAGAAGAGAAGTGGTTCGGAAATTCCTACTCCACTCCTCAAGACTCTTTCTTGGGTATTTTACTGCAGTGACACTCTTAACAGGAGCGAACCAAACCGATCGACCCTCTTTTTGTTCAGGATTCAACCAATTTACTTTTCTCACAACTCAAAGTGTACCCACACCTTAATACAAAACCCAATTTGAAAAGAAAGAATTCAAAAACAAAGTGGATTACACAAATTTTACACCAAAGTAATGGCTAAAAAGCCACACTCTAATGAATCTCTCACAAAAAAATGAGCAAGTTATGTGTAGGAGAGAATGAAGATTTTGAAAAAGTTGAGAGGCGAATTTGAAAACAAATGATTTTGCTTTGATA